TCGGAGGACCACTCTGCAGTTCAATGCCATCATCAAATTCCTGCTGGATCGATGGATGGTGTGTAGAAAACTGGAAGATTATGAGTATTTCACCCTACTTAAAACATTAAAATAGGCGGCTATAATACATAAGAACGTTTCGAAGACCCCACTTGGAAACCCGACCAAACTCTCATAGTTAAGAAACAAGCTATTCTGGACCCCCTTAGTGCAGGGGTCGGGAACGTATGGCTCGCGAGCCAGGCTTGGCTCTTCTGATGATTGTATCTGGCTCTCTCAGATAAAATTGGAATTCGAAACTTAAGATTTTTCGATTAAAATAAATCTGGAGGCTTATTATATTCACTTTTAATTCATTTCGATCTTGATATATATTATATGGCTCTCACTGAAATATATTTCCAAATATTTGCTTTCTTGGCTTTCTGAGTCAAAAAGGTTTGCCACCTCTACCTTAGTGCATAGGTCTACATCTCTTACTTATCCCTGAATCCTCTTCGGGCGAACTGAATAGAAAATTGTGAGTTCAAAGTGTGCCTGGTTGTTGTTAGTGATGAAACGGACTGGTATATGTGTGCTAACCTGACCAAACTCTCTCCTGCTTCCCTAGGTCACTACCAGCAGCTTTTAATTTAGACGACCATGCAAAAGGCTGAATGCGGTAACTAAGGCGGCGATAGGCCACCGTCTAGGAATGCTAATGTTCTCACAAGCTCCAGTTCAAATTCTTCACTGTCCATAAAATGAATTGTGGATAAAAGCGAACAGTTAAGTTCTAGGAAACAGTCAAAAAGGAGAATAGTCGATTGCTAGAACAAGACGTTTACTTGCCTGACGTTTCAGATGTTGTAACGGCTGCCCAGGCCGAGATATCGCCGCGAAATAACGCCTTGTGTGAGTTCCCAAAGGAAGAACACGACAAGAAGGGTGCAACGGCAGAAGTCTTTGAGTGTTAGAGGTACAACAAGTTTGGGGAACAAACGCGTGTAAACAATGTCCCTTGAGCCAATCAGATTCTTTTCTGAAATAGTGACCGGTCCCATTGGCTGTTGGCTCAGTGGATAACTGTAGTTTGAATTCCGAATTATCGAGCGATTGG